AAACCGTTTTAATTTTCAAATGTGGGCAGAAGAAAATACAAGAATTTCGTACTCTTGTCATCATCGGATGGTCCACAGTATCAGCGTTTGTTGTGGACTTCTCGAAAATAAATTAATTGGGCCTTATTTTTACAAAAATAATTTAAATAGTGCTTAGTTTCTCTATTAGATTATGTTCCTCTGTAACAACGATAAAAAATGATTCTCCATTTCGTTGGATACCCCGCACACAATTCTTTGCAGGTGAGGCGCTATTCGAATCGTCATTCTGGGATAGATGTATAGTAGGACTTATGGCCCGGATCTGTTGGCCTCTTTGGTCACCCGATTTAACTCCACTTGGCTTTTTTCTGTGGGTCCATTTAAAAAACAGTGTCTACACCAATCATAACACAGCAACCGCAGTTGAAAAACTGCGGCAATGGATAGAAAATGCTTGCCAATCCGTCTCCCCTGACTCTATCGTCCTGAGCTCCTGAAGAGTGGTTAAAAAGAGCAAATCTTTGCATCTTCACTAAACGCAGGTAGTTCGAACATGAACTGTGATTAATAAATAGCCAACCAAACGACAGTGGGTTTTTTTCAAACTTTTTGCCATAAATTTGTCATTTTTTAACCAATTTGAAATCCGATTGCACGATTGTTTTCAGCGTAAACAATAATAAATCCTTTAAAATAATATGTCAGAATGTGTTGGGTTGTACTTGAAATTTTGAAGTTGATGGCAGATGGATGCCCCACACACAATTTTTACAAATGAGATTTGACCAAATGTCTGTTTGTTTTTTTAAATTTTTTGCCATAACTTTGTCATTTTTTGACCGATTTAAAATCCGATTGCACCATTGTTTTCATCGTAAAAAAAGTCCTTTAAAATGATGTTTCAAGATGTGTAGGGTCTAGATGGATGCCCCGCACACAATTATTTACAGATGAGATGTTGTGACGAAATGACTGTTTTTTGTTCTAACTTTTTGCCATAACTTTGTCATTTTTGGGCCAATTTAAAATCCGTTTGTACATTTGTTTTCTGCGTAAAACATCCTTTAAAAGGATGCGTCAGAATTTGTAGGGTCGTATTTGAAATTATGAAGTTGAACTGGACCTGAGGTCCCAGCTAGATGGATGCCCCGCACACAATTATTTACAGATGAGATGTGACCAAATGACTGTTTTTTTTTTAACTTTTTGCCTTAACTTTGTCATTTTTTGGCCAATTTAAAATCCGATTGCACCATTGTTTTCATCGTAAAAAAGTCCTTTAAAATGATGTTTCAGGATGTGTAGGGTCTAGATGGATGCCCCGCACAAATTATTTACAGATGAGATATTGTGACCAAATGACTGTTTATTTTATTTTATTATCTTTTTTTTTACTTTTTGCCATAAGTTTGCCATTTTTTGACCAATTTAAAATTCGTTTGAACCATTGTATTCTGCGTAAAACATCCTTTAAAACGATGCGTCTGGATTTGTAGGGCCGTATTTCAAATTTTGAAGTTGAACTGGGCCTGGCGTACCTTGTATAATTTTTCTCCAAAAAAGGTAAAAATCTGAAATTAGACTAAAAAATATTGAACACGTAATTTTCTATTTTTTGAAAGCGTCCTTGTTTCAAGAGAAATTCAGCCGAGCCATCTAAAAAGGAAACCCTGTATATGTATATGTAAATATGAATTTTAATGCATATAATTTGTAAGTATGAATTTTAATGCGTATAATTTTTTATTTACGGTATTTGCTCACATAGTTGTATTCAATTGGTTCCAGGGCATTATTGCACCTTTTTAACGTAGTCTGTATTAAATATAAGAAGCGTTTTAACATAAAATATTCATTAAAAATCAAATAGTTTAGAAGAAAATATATATTAAAAAGCCCAGGCATTATAATTGAAACTTACATTTAAAGTATTTCAATTTTAAACTTCACTTGATATTCATTTGATACATGATCTTCTATTGGATTTCTCATTAGTAAACCGATTTTTCATGTTTTTTTATTTTATTCGTCTCCGATAAGTTATCTTTAAATGTAAACAAGTACAAAACATTTAGGTTTTTAATTGTTCTTTTTCGTACTTAGTAACGTAAGTGGTATTTTTACATTACACGTATTTTTTTCACCCTGTATATAACATTAAACCCTTTTCTCTCCTTTTATTATTATTACTAATTTATTTTCTAAGATTTGAATATCGGAGTGTTTTAACAGCGAGTACGTTTGAAAACAACAGAACTTTTCATCATTTGCTTGTTTGGTCGAAACACTGTATTTTTCAACGGTATGTACGTACCGATTCAGTTCAGCTTTCCCATCGTATGCCTTTATTGAAAATAACCAATTAACACTAATGTCTTTTATTTGTTCTTTTCGAGAATAGGGTGGTATCAAAAAACAAACATATTCAAATTTTGATTTATTTAGAATAAAACCTTAAAGCTGAATTGAAACGAACACAAATCGGAATTAAAGAGAGTGCAAAACCATAGGCAGAAGTTGAAATAGATGAATGGTGTTACATATGTTAATTGTCGAGAAGTGTTACAAACAAACCGTAAGAAGAAAGCGTCTTTGTTAGATGAAGCGTCTACATCGTGAAAAGTGTACGCACTTTGATGCATAGTCAGAGCCGGCGTGTGTCAAGTCTGCAGCAGACTCCGTTTCCAACTGAGCAGTGAGCCGATCATTCAACCAAAATTAAATCGGAGGCAACCCCGAGGAGGGGAACCGACTGGGCCGGCACGTTCCCTCGGAGAAATAAATAATTCCCATAGTGCCTGAATTTGCCGGCCGAGCCAAATTCAAATTCACCCAGTTTTCTACACATTTTATATGACAAAGTTGGAAAAATTTGATAATAATAGCGATAAAGCGTTTTATTTTTTTCTAACACAGCAGTAATAAACAAAATTAATAAAATTCACATCCTCTCACACTACTCTCTCGTTCATGATTATTCACCAACATTTCCAACTTTCAATTAATTCAGGTTTTTAGTTGAGATAAAAAAGTCAGTGTCACGAGCGGGATTCGAACCCACGACCTTCGGCTAAATACGCCGCTGCTCTACCACTTGAGCTATCGTGACTTCGATCTACTGGGGCACTAACTTCCCATTTCCACCCCAACTTTTGAATTTTCCCTCCTTTTTGCCATTTTTTTTTATCTCATCTAAAAACCTTAATTAATTGAAAAGTATTAATTGTTCAAGCGGACCACGAAAACTAGTGAATTTAACATTCCCAATATTGTTCATTATTATAAATAAATGGCCCAACATAACATCGTGCACAAGTCTATCAAAAAACACGTTTATAACAATGATTGCACTCTGCTGTATTAATTATAACGGATACTTTACATACAACAATCTTTTTTTTTTTCAAATCTTCTTCTCAATCCCCTTTTGGAGTTCGTAGTTCAAAACTAGCTTTTAAGTGAGTCTCAAGCAGGTTTCAGAAAAGTCTACTCCACAACAGACATCTTCACCCTAAACAATATTATTAATCTCAATCCAAAAAGAAGAAAAAAGTTTATGAGTTTTTTGTGGACGTCAAGGCGTCTTTTGATTGTGTCACTTCCTAATACTCAATCTCAGTAACTTCTGCTTTTCAGTAAAAACCCTCGCCATACTAAAAACTCTTTTCATGCCAAATCGGCAGTCAGAGGCAGGGAGGAAATTTAAGATTATTTTAGGGTGGGTTCGGGTGTTTGACAGGGGTTGAGTCCGTTATTATTTGCACTCATCCTGGACGATCTCCTTGATTGTTTGGAACTTGGAATTCACTGTGCAAAGACTATAATAAAGAATCTTTTAATCCTGGCTGACTCAACAACTACAATGCAAAAAATATATCAATGCGTTGGGGTATACTATGGCAACTGGAATATTTCAGGAAATCTCAGAAAGTCCAAAATGATGGTTTGCAGAAGAGGTGGCAGGCTTACTGACCGTGAGAACTTCTACGGTGTGCCCATGGAAATAGTAAATAAATATCTAGGCATAATTTTCACCCCCCAAATTTCCCTTAACCTTCATTTCAAAACGAAAATCCAAACAGCTAAATTTGATGTGAATTGTGGCAGTACCTCATATCTCACTTTCAAGTCACCAGTAAATTCAAACTGTTTTTAGCTGTTTGTTCTACTGGTCAGGCATGGGGCTACAGACGGTATGATATAATTGAAGCCCTTCAACGTTATTTTGTTCAAAAAGTCTATCGCCTACCGCTGTACACCCCTAGTTATATGAGTTATATGATTTATCTGGAATCCTCGATAGACCTTATCTTTATATATTATTTAAACCTTCATATCTCCTATGTGCACAGGTGGCTGAATACACAACATAGTTCAAGGTATGTTTGGGTAGAGGAAACAATCTTTTAACAAAGAATTTATACAATTTCTCTACTTCTTCAAATTGCATGAAACCCCAGATCTGTGCCACTTAACATACAACCGCCCTACTAGAATTAAATATTCCATCTTTGCCGATAAAGGCACATCTCTATTTTCTTAAAAATTCTTATATGCCTAATTTAGCTGCACTTATTTTTTTCTTTAAAATGTTTCCAGAAAGAGAGTAAATAAACATTTGATATTTTGAAATATTTTATCTTTGGAGCGCAATGGGCCGAATACGAAAAGCGAGCTTTCTACATCCATATGTGTTTTTGTTGAAGATGTGAAAATTAAAATATTTTGTTTTTATATAACAATTACACAGAAGACAAACACTTTGAGCCCTGAAGGTGATCTCAATAAAAGATCGAAACGTTGGCACGATAAAGAAAATGTTTTTCTGAAACCTACATCACACCCGACCGCATCTCACGATATCTGAATAACTATCAATTAACGGTCTCTACACATTAAAATATTTACCTGACATTAGATTTCTTTCACTTAGTGTGTATCCGTGGGATTGACGCGATTGTGATGCAGCACAATTTGGACGACTGAGCCTAAAATTGATATAAAGGAAATAATTTAAACACCCTATTTACCACATTTATATTTACATAATTTTGTTTCCCAATAATGGACAATAACAGTTGACTTATTACATTTCAATAACGAGCTCAAAATTAAAAATGACATACAATTGAGAATAATAAAGTTAGTTGTTAGATTTTTTAAAAATACAACCACATAAAAATAAATGTAAGTTTTAACAATGGATAGATACATTTTAGGATGGCATAAATACCAAATGCATGGACTGAACAATACGAGAACCTTTAAAAGGGAATCAGAAGTTTTCTAATAACAGTTTACATTTCCAAAATTAAAGCTCTCGACTCGCTTGTTCCCAATTTCTTTTATTGACTTTCAATTCATATATACCGATGAGGTATTTATCCGCATATATGAGTAATCTGTTTAAAAAGTCTACATTCATAAGACATTGGATAGATTTTTAATTTAATTTTAGGCAGTTTATTTGACAGTTTGGTCCACAACTCATCACGGAACCTTTTGGACTTGAGCCAAAATTGTATGCTTTAAATTACACTTTCTTTTTTTTTTAATTAAAGATTTTTTTAATAATAATACACTTGTATTTAAGATATTGTCATTGCATTTTTTTCATTAATTTATCCAATCATTATAGAAATATATAACTTAATAACAAACATCCTATGAAAAATATATTATTTCCTATTATTGTTCTAAGGAAAGATGCCATTATCAAATATGTCTTAAATTCAGTAGAGATATTAAAACAGAATTTTCCACTGTGTACAATACAATATAAAGTGTTCCTATAAACAAATAATATATTTCAATAGAAAACATCAAATAATACTTGCATGGAAAAATACACAAGTGATTGATTACATACTTTGGAACATTTATTATGTGAAAACATTTTATGACTCTAACCAATTTTATGCATGTTTTTGTCACCGATTCTAATTCTAATTCTAATGGAGGGTATTCTACACATTGCACGATTCAAAGGCGGGTTTAAGATAACTGGGATCTGATGGTTTTCAATTGAGCCGCACCCTATACGGTACGAACACACTAACCACAATTATAGTTTCTTCGATTCGGCAGGTAAATTAACATATCACATTTTTATTCAACTGTTATTCACAAGTCTGGAGTCACAAAGAAACTAGATGAGACTATCGCTATCGCAAAGAAGACGAACACACCAGCTATAAAATACCTAGCTTGAAGAGCATAATTTTCATATGGTTGGAGCCATTCTAAATAACCCATCAGCTTTAACATCCAAGGCGGAGCACAGAAAGAAGATCTGCAAAATTACATATACAAAAGAAATATTAGAAAAAGTAGTTATTATTAATTAATTATCTAAGCAATTTAAAATGTCATTAACTTCAAAGGGTGTAGGTAATGAATCAGACTTTCAGATAGATATTTCACTCAAGCAGATAAGTTACCTAAGTTTTATTACCAGCTAAATTGTTTTTATTCTATTCTTTACTGATTTTTTATTATTACTGGTAGGTAGCAATAATTTTGTCTATTTTAGTCTTAATATTTTGTTTGAAAATTTAACTACATTTCTGATTAATGCTCTAATCTGAAAGAGACTAAGTCAGTTCACTTTTTTAAATTTATTTTAATTGTTAACATTATTTATTATTATTATTATAATTTTATGCATCTTAATGTTTGAAACAAAGTGGCTTTGCCAATATAAATGTTCCTTAATAATAAAAGAATTATGCTTAATAAAAATAGAAAACGGACTTTAAACAATCTACATTTTAATATTGTTTTCAACTTTAAAATACAGATTTGTAAGCAATAAAACACAAAATAATTTAATTATATGAAATTCGTTCATAAATAATTCAACATTCTACAAGAATAAATTCATTATTTTGGAAAAAATTAACAGTGAAACTTAGAATATGATATTACATATTTTTAATGAATCTTTTCAATGAAAAGTAATTTTTAATGATTAATTGATTTATTGACGAAATGAGAAATAAATTGTCATTGATCGAAAAGTAGAAATTTAGAAATATTAGAGTTATTGTTTGGAAATTGAATACCAAGCACAATCTATCATGCTCAAAGAAACTATCTGGAGAAATGTGTACTGTTCTTTTGAAAAAAAAAAATATTTCTATTTTTCTACCAATAATCAAGCATGGTAATATTACAGATTTATTTTACCTTTTTCTAAATTTATACTTCTGCGGCAACTTCTTTTGAACCTCGGCATCCTGTCTCACTTCCGAATGTTCGTAGCCTAATTCATCGTCTGTATCGGTTTCACCTTCCGAACTGAAATGAAAAGAAAGAGTGAACGATAACATTACAAAATACACAAAAGCTCTAATTAAAAACAATTTACGAGTTCAAATGAGAGTCGCCGCTGTATTGCTGTTCTTCGGTAGCAAGGAGATGGTTGTTGTTCGAACTACAACGACCTTGTTTACACAGCTTGTTCATCTGGCCATTGTCACTTTAATTGAGAGACAAAAAAACAATCAAAATGGCAAAACTATACAGTCAAAGTGAGATGTAATTAGGAATGAGACATACTTTGTTTTACAATGGTCTCCTTGAGGCTCTGTTTTTGCAAAACCAGATCTTCTAATATGTGAGCCTCGCCTTGAAGAACTTCCTCGTCTGTCCTGAAATAATTTATGCATTGAGTTAGTTATAGGCTACTACTTTACTACTACATGTCTTTATTCTCAAATATAAACAATATATTAATATGAGTAACAAAACTAGATCTACGTCATGGTCTGAGACCATCTGAGGATGGCTATAGACTAGGTACCAACATTACAGCCTTTGAGTATATGGCTATTCGAATTGTTAAATCATTTTTATGTAAGGTCTGATATTTCTGAAGCTGCAGTATGCAATGTACAACAGCATAAGACATATGTTCAGTCCTAGTACACAAGTCATTCAGTGTTAATTTCTTTCCTAACTGATTAATAAATACTAATAATTTTACTTTTATTATTCTTTTAATTTGTTTTAGCATCATTTTGTTTGTGGCTAACTTTCAAATCCAATAAAAAAAAATTCCCCAGTTTTCAAAAGTTAAATTTAAAAAATTCTTGTCAAAACCTAATCACTTGATTAATTAAAATTTGTATCTTAACTAAGTTGCTCTCTCTTTTTTAAACTCACTCCAACGAAGATCATAGAATGGAACTTGGACAACCGAAAGCATATAATTTATGATGGTGTATATTTCAAGGCAAATCCTGCCTCGTCTTCATCCTATCTCTGCTACTTCCAAAAACTTGGAATGGCAAAATATGAGGCAGGATTTGCCTTGAAATATACACAATTTTCACAATTTTAACAGTGAAATGGTCAAATATTTTGCATAACAATTTTTCCTAGCAAAAAAATAAGATTATTAAAAATAGAGATATATTTATTTATTTTTTAAAGTTCATAATAGGGCTTGGCCTCTTTACAATGAGTAGAAAAATATAAAATAATTAAATAACAAAAAGTTTACAAAACATAATGCAAAAAATAATAATTAATAAACAAAATTTTGATAATATTAGCATAGTTGAATATGAATGAAGGAGCGAAGTAGGTATAAAAGAGAGAAGAAAAAGAGAATAGAAACAAGATCTTGTTGAATTAGTTTGATCAAATCAAGGACTGTTTGCAAAAAAGTTGAAAGCTTCACGCCTGACAGCCCGAAGGGGGTAGGTCCACCTAATATGCCGCGGAAAGGAATTCCACAGATGTGCCCCAGCAACTCTAAATGAATCATTCATAGATTTGGATCTATGACGCAAGCTTTTTTATAATATTTAACCTATGGGAATAATTCGAATTGAATATAATGAATAGGTATCATGGGCAGAGCTTATTTTTGATTTTAAATAAGTAAATAAGAGATGTGAGTTTAAAGTAATCAAATATATTAATACATATAATGAACATGTCATGTATTGAGATGTGCTCTTTTTCGTAAACTTAATACAAATAATTATTCTTTTTATGTAAGGTCTTGGTTGATATAAAAAAGTCAGCGACATGAGCAGGATACACTGACTTTTTATCTCAACCAAGACCTTACATAAAAAGAACAATTAATTGAAAGAATTAACTTGGTCAATTGATCACTAAAGCATAAATGGATTAATACTTAATACAAATCCTGTTCAATTATTAAAAATTATTCTAATATTTTTATTAGAAGTGTGATTAAGTGAAAAAGAGTTGATACTACTGCAATAAGTAAAATACTTTAAAATAAGAGTTTTGACTAGTAAGTTTTAGTGCCGGAGAGATAAATTTATGATATTTCCAAAGTGAATTTAAAGTCCCATTCAGCCTTCTAGCAACAAAGCCTAAACAATCATCTCAAGATAATCTGTTATTAAAGTCACACGAAAATTTTTTACCTGGTTAAAGGGTTGGTTAGGGATGGTTATTACAAAAGCGAATCAGGGATTAAATGATTTGGACATTGTTTATAGATTTGGGTATTGTCATTATATAAGTGAAATTTGGAGAATTTTAAATAAGAAAGGAGTCGTTAATAAAAATCGAAAACAATAAGGGTCCTAAAATTGCACCTTGAGGAACGCCAGGTTCCTTGTCTGCAAGGTCTGAGGAGAATTTGTTATTAGGAAGTTTGACCTTTATTTACAACCTAACAAATAAGAGTAATAATTATAAGCATACCAGACATATGTATTAGTACACTTCATGTTTGTATACACTTTGAAAATTAATTTGCTTTTTATGGGTAAAAATGGGGAAAAAGTACATGTAAGTTTACCAACCTTAAATCACCGATTTCCGATGATCGTGCAGCTGCTTTGAAAAAAATTATTTAATGTGAAATAATTATGCTTATGTTACAGGACAGTAATATTTAAAAACTTCTTTTTATGTTTTTTTACTAAAGTCATAAATATTGCATATAATGTGCGAAAAAATAGGTGTAGTTAGAACGACTGTTTTAATGATTTGTCATTCATGCTTTTGTACTCACAGCTGTAGTGTTTGATTGCTCTGTCAGGTTTTGGCCTTGGTGCAGAGTGGCTATGGACGCACGCCTTTTACCATCCTGCAAAAGTGTAGAGAAACTGTGTTTACTCTGCGCTCTCGGCATTTGAATAAACAATCACGGCCCACTTACGTTTTTCAGACTCGAAACCGTCAAGTTCTGAGGTGTCTTGTTGTTGTCTTTCATCAGCTTCTTCATTTCTTCATGTTCGTTCTTCTCTTTCTCGTACATTTGCTTCAGGTTCTCGACGTGCTTCAAAACCACGTCTACCGCTTTAGACAATCTGTTCTCTTGTTGAACTGCCCCGTAAAGCTTAAAGTCGAATAAAACATTGAACATCCTTTTCTTTTTGGTGACACGCTAACATTCACTCACCTCTGATGTACTCGAAACTCTAATCGCAGAACTGTACAGCGTCTCGACCTGCTGGCTGACTTTGTTGAAAAGGTCCGATTTTTCTCCGTCTGTGCAAATATCGTTCAGCGACTGAAAAAACATGGCCACTAATCTCAGGCATTCAAACATAAACAAGAGGATTAAAAGCTTAACTGTGATTAACTGTTAGAAACCGTAAACACTACATTCTTTTAGCACATCCATATCGTGTCTGTTATTTTGATATATGTTAATGTATTATTCAATATTTGTAATAGGAATATTTTTTCATGATTCAACAGTTGCTATTAAATAATAATTGATGTGATTAAGTACCTGGATTGCACTTTTAAGGGCGTCTACCTCGTGTGTCATGTTAATTTCAGCTTGGTCTCTCAGTTTATGCTGCAACTCCAGCCTCCTCGACAATGTGAGTTTATCAGTCTTAAACGCCAACACCAGCGATGTGTACTTGTGCTACAATCATTACAAATATATTATATATATATCTGTGTGTGTGTGTGTGTGTGTGTGTGTGTGTGTGTGTGTGTGTGTGTGTGTGTGTGTGTGTGTGTGTGTGTGTGTGTCCGTCCGTCCGTCCGTCCGTGTGTCTGTGTCTGTGTCTGTGTCTGTGTCTGTGTCTGTGTCTGTGTCTGTGTCTGTGTCTGTGTCTGTGTCTGTGTCTGTGTGCATGTATAATTGAAACATTATTTAAGCGTTGTTACTATGAAATTTATTGTGCGTGTATATTTCGGAAATTAAGAAACATGCGTCCAGCGTTAAACCCCTGAACTTAATCGAGATCTTTAATTTGCCAATGTATCGAATGGTTTTCATTCTTTTTCAAGACAACCGTGGAATAAAGGTAGAGCCTCTTTTGTCCACTTTTTTTCCGGTGTTAGCATTAAAATCGAAGCCGTAGATTCGTTTTGAAGTGGTAGTTCTTCAATTCTTCCTTTTTTTTCTCTTTTTGTTCTCATGACGGTACTATTCTAATTACGTGTCAAGGGCTTTAATTTGATGCACTTTTTAGTTGGAAAGAAATCTTTTACCGTAACTAACTAAAAGGTATTTTAATTAAAAAGTGCAGCCCTTGACACGTAATTAGAATAGTACCGGCCTGCGTAAAAAAAAGAAAAAAAAGGAAGAATTGAAGAACTACCACTTCGAAACGAATCTACCGCTACGATTTTAATGCTAACACCGGAAAAAAAGTGTACAAAAGCGGCTCTACCTTTATTCCAGTGTTGCCTTGAAAAAGAATGAAAACCATTCGAAACGTTGGCAAATTAAAGAATTGAGCACTACGCTTGTTTTCTGTATGACTGCACATCCCTCACCCAAAATTATTCGAGGTCGTAAAGTTAAAACCAACCCATAATCAGTAATAAATTAGTATGTAATAATAATTTATCCAAATTTGAAATATGAAAAACTTTAGTCGTAGTGGTAGGGAAACCGTGCAAACATGATATGAACGTTATGCATTTATTTTGATGTTTCTCAATTATTTCTGTTTGTTGTCTGTCAGTTTCTGAAAAACAACCAAGAAATCAAATTAATAAAAATAATCTAAAGATAAATTATAAAAACGTCAGAATAATCAATGATACTGGATATTTCTCACGTAAACCTTTTAAAACATCAATATAAAATATTTCAAGCAACCTTTCAAAGGACTGATCTCGTTTTTTAACATTTTCTACAGTTAACTGTTCAGTCTCTACTGTGCGCTAAGACTTATTTTTTTATTAATACTTTTTTATTTATACTGTGCCACGTCGAAATTATGCTCAAGGGGCTATCGACAAGGTCATTTCAGCCCCTGGCGTATGCAGTATTAACCTAAACACACTCACTCAATCACTCATTCTTTAATACGTTCCCTCTTATAAAATAACTTTCACTCAAGTAGAGCAAAAGAGTACTAGATTCCACCATCACCTTTATATCATCTTTATAGACAATTATGCTTAAATACCTACTCAGATTGAGGGTCGATTGGGTACTGTGTATTCCGCCATCGTCACTCTAGTACCACATACACATTCACGCTTATAAATACATTCTCACGTAACAATTCAAACATCTATCACTATTGAAAATATGTGTGTTTAATCCTAATTTAACTCTCCGGTGTTGTTCAATTTTTAAAGATACAAAAAGAAAAAGATGCCAGCGATGTATTTCTAAGAGGATTAGCTGAGTTATGAGCAAACAGCAGAATGCATGATTATTTTCAAATTCAAAAATTAATTTACAATGGACGTTGAGATAATGTAAAGAACCTTACTTCAATATCTTCTTCTGCAGGGCCAGCTTCTCTGTAACCAAAAGAATCGTGTTAAAATTCGTATGCTGGATTTATCTATCTTGATAAAGTATAAACATTAGAGAACGAATGCACTATATGATTAGATACAGTAGTAAATTTACCCAAGGAAAACAAAGTTTTATCAAATTCTACCCTTTGCTCCTAGAGAAACTTATAATTGTATCGAAGGATATCAAACAGCACATCCGTTGTAATGTTTCTATTAATGATTTGGGCAACAAGATGACAAAAATTATACTTTGAATTGGTAAAAATGATCTCACTTTTCTTCTGTGTTCGACTGCATCCAGAGGCCCAGCTGGCGGAGGGCGCTGTCGCTCAGGTTCGGGAAAACGGATTGGTTCTGTTCCATCTCGAGCTTGCTGTCCGTCAACTCATTCTGCAAATAATTAATTTAAACTCGCCGTGACAACTGACATTTAGATAAAATACACGTCCTCGATTGGTTTAATTATCAAAACTACTCACCACTTCTGCCCCATTTCCAAAAGGTTCGCTGGAAAAAAAACCAAAACAAGAAATTAAATTCCGTGTTGTTTTGTGATACGTCTGCTGATTTTTTGTCTAGAAAGCTATCTTCAAAGTGAGCGACGATTGAATTTCAATTTTTTTTTCTTTCTTCGCCTTATCTACCAGCGATAACGGTTTATCAAACCAGATACGATTTAAAAATTGGGATAAGGACAAAAAATATGTGAAAGGTTGTTTCGATTCGATTCATATGGACATAACAGAAATTTGTTATTTACAAAAATATATAATTTGGAGATTTGATCTAACACACGGAAAAACTTAGGAAATGAAACTTTAGCAGCGACAGTCAATGACCTGATACTTTTAAGGAGAAGTATTGAGTCTATTGCACTGAACTAAGGAACTAGGAAGGTACCAAAGCCAGAAAGCTGCATTGCCTGGGGAGCACAAACCCCGCTTCCTAGTACCCTTGTCACCATACCATACCATACATTCCATGCGTCCCGAAGGTTAGAGCACCCACCCGATGCGTTCTCGAGCATAGGCATGATCACTTAGCCATGGGGTAAAACGCGTTCAGCACAACCTGCATCCTGATGAAACTAGTCCTACATGTGCGACTCCAGGAGAGGCACGCATACAGAACCATCGGCCTCACCACCACCTTGTACAGGAGAAGTTTATCAGAACACCAGGAACGATGTCTCTTGGTTGGGAAAGCGATGATTGAAAGGAAACTCTGGATAATAGATAGAATTGACTTTTTTTTTTTTTTTTAATTTTAAAGGTTAAACTTCTTTCAATTGGCAATGGAAAATGGCAAAAATGAGGGAAATTCGCAAGGTAGGTTGAGATGGGAAGTTGGTGTCCGAGTGGATCGAAATCCCGATAGCTCAAGTGGTAGAGTAACGGCGTATTTAGCCGAAGGTCGTGGGTTCGAATCCCGCTCGTGACACTAGCTTTTTCACTTCATCCAATACCTTAAATAAAGATTAATTAATTGAAATACTTAACAACATTCAACATTTTGAGCAATTTCATTTCAGTTTGCGCCGGTTTTGTGCTACTCTACAAATTCTACATGAAAACCTCTCCTTTGCTTTTTTTAGCTTGTTAAAACATCAAATGAACAACCAGAAGCGACAAATTGTGCCGTCAAGGCATTGCTGAAAGCTGTTGATTTGTACGAAATGATATTTCTTTCTGAATTTAATTTACTACAATTTAGTAGTCTTCTCCGACCGTCCTGACGACCTGTTCTTAACAAAACGAGTGAGGCGGACAAGGATGCTCGGAGTTGAAGAATTTAAGAATGTCAATTTTTTAAATTTTACATTAACCATTAAACTTTACAATTTATCTAGTTGAGTGAAATTCGTTCCTGTTGCTGTTTGTTCTAATTGTCCCTGACAGGGATAAGATATTTCGAAAAGGTTCAGAACGTATGATTCAAAACAAACTGCTGGAATGAAGTTATAACAAAATAATTCCAAAACATTTATATATTTATTATGCATTATTAACAGCTTAGATTTCAAGAAAAATATAACACATTTTGTCCACAAACAATTGATTCTACCGCTAAAAGAAAATTTCTGCGCTTTGTTGTTAAAATTAATTAGGTGTGTAATGTAAATTATTTATTCAGATTATAAAAGTGACTCGGCACATCAAGTAACTTTTTATCGAAATAGGAGAAAAATAAATACTGAAGACTATAATAAACTTGTTACACGTTCAGGTAAAACACTTTTTTATCGGGAACTAAAGAAATTAAGAAGACTCGGAAAGGCATAATGCTTGTATTACGTGCCTAAATTGGGTTCTTAAAATGTTGAGTCCACTAAAACTATTTTAATTTCTTAATTTAAACTTGCAAAAAAACAAAAAAGTTCTGCGAAGATTGGAAAAGACTAGTAGACTTTTAGACCAAAGAGTTAGTCACGATTGCTCAAGTGGTAAGAGCAGCGGCGAATTGAGCCGAAGGTCGTAGGTTCGAATCCCACTCGTGACATTAACTTTTTCATTTCAACCAAGACCTGATATACAAAGATTAATTAATTGAAAGAAGTAATTTGGTCATTCGGACCACTAAATATAATAGATTAGAAAAGATGAAGTTTTTTCGGAGGATCTACGGAAGAGGTCAACACAGAGAAAAACTTCCTTTCGGTTTTCGCCGAGCTTTCGACAGTTTTTGTACTGTCATCTTCAGGGCCTGTTTTTATTATCATATAACTTCATGTTTCCAGCAGGTCAATAACCCAGCTCATCGTTAGATTAGAAAAGATTTTTTTATTTGCCGTATATTACAGCAACCTTCTATTCGGTAACATGTAACAATGAGGTAGGAAAGAGTGGAGAAAATACCGTTGGTAATACTCCAGTGATACTAAAATATTGTCCGTTTGATCAATGTATGCGCCAATATCATGTTCCCTATCACTTCGTAAGAGATATCGTGGTCATCGACTCTTCAGTAGACGAGGAAGGTTCGAGGGAATTCGTCGGGATGCGTGTTTTTAGATGTGGTGCGTAGGTTGGGAAGGTTTTGAAAAACGTTCGATAACTGCAGTGGATTTCATCTTGGACGAATGGGAATATTAAGGTGTATGTGTAGTTTCGTTTAATATATAAAATGTAGCAATAAGGTTTTTATTAAAATTAAAGATTGGACAGTTTGGATGCGGTGGATTTCAGAACGTTTGGCTGAACTCAAAACTTTCAGCTGGTAAGTACATATCGGCTTATGGTGTTATAAAGCAGCCTTTCGATTTAGATATGTACGTCAGCGTGTTTATACCACGTTATACCACGTCAAGCGTTTTCCAATGGACAGTCCTAGATACCGCACCTCGTTAAATTTTTTTTCTTTCTTTCCACACCAAGACTAAGTAGGGTGAGGGGCTGTTGAATGTGGAAATGACAGTTATTGACAGAATTGCTGTATTGTATGAAAATGTGAGTGGAATATCAGCTGTATATACCTAGCACAGTTTGGATGCCAAAACGCTACCCTGACGAACTCCATCATATGTATATGCAAATATGTACATGCTTTCCCGTATACTCGGTCGTCCTATAAAGGACAATGAGGATCTTTAACGTCCGCACCTAGCCTACTCGGCCTTATCGGACGTTTTGATTCTCAAGATGAAAGCTGACGCACCTCCGCATACGACAGAAGGGTGTTACTGCCGTATCGTTGATGTAGAGGCAGCTCAGCCCCGAAGGGCCAAGACAACCTCGCTCCCCGCTTGCCCATTCCTAGTGGTCGGGTCTGCATTAAGCATCAGACCGTATGCCGCGCACAAAGGGCTACCTAAGCCGAAATACATTAGCCTGATTTCCCTCGCACTCCATAGACAGAGAAGGCCACTCTATCTCCCAGAGTATTGAGGCTTCTCTAACGTCGAAACTACCGGATCCGCTCCGGCCGCGGTTTTGTTTAAAGTGGAATTGTTAACCACCCCCTAGAGGAGTACCACCTACGGTGGGAAATATGTACCCTAACCATCCCGAAATATGTACAGAGGAAATTACGTCCAATGACTTGGAAAAACCGTTCAGTGAGATAACTGGGCAGTATGAGATAGTAAGTGAATAAGGGAAGGATGCCCATGAGCATGAACGTCAAGCCGGGTAACGAACTCGATCAAAAGCTTGGTTTAAGTCAGGAAACTCAAGAGTGGAGGAGATAATGTCTACCGATGGCGCTAGAGAGACTTAGTTATTTTTAATATTCGTTAAATGTGATATTACTCTTTATCTAAAAGGTCTTAGTTGAGACGGAAAAGCTAGCATCACGAGCGGGATTCGAACCCACGACCTTCGGCTCAAATCGCCATTGTTCTAACCACTTGAGCTGTCGTGACTCCATAACCACGTGTGTTAGTTAAATTTATGTTTTTCTCATTTTTCATGAGAAACAGTTTTACTTTCTGCTATTACGCTTGTACATAATATCTCTTACATTTATGTACTTTGCCAGATTAGAAGACGTTAAGCTTGTAGTTAGATTCGCTGTTTAACAACATTTTTCAATAAATTCACGACGATATTACATTCCTCTGACCTTGCCGCATTACATTGATTCTACAATATTTTTTAGAAATAATTAATTTTAAAATAACCAACGAACGAGTGATGTCTTAGGAAGGTTTCTGCTGTTAGTGTTTCAATTGAAACGTAAATCTTACTCAAGTTATTTATTTATGTATTTCTTTTTCTTTTTCTTTTCTTTTTTGTACTTTTTTCTCACGAGCGGATTGCTAATAATAAGTAGTATCCTTTTCGAAAATTGTGATGGTTCCCCGGCTCTCCCACAATGTGTTGCGTAACCCAAGGAAAATAAACGAAATATCGAAACGCCCAACCTCCCCCCCCCCAATTTTCAAGAACAAAATACAATTTTGGGATTGTCGTTTAAGAAACTAACTTTTTTTAATTTTTTTTTATTTATTGCCAAATAAATTCATACGTCGTATGAGCCTGTTTCGTGTTCCAAGGTCATTCCTAGTTAACAATTGCAAATTATTTACAAATTATAAATGTGTATATAGTATTTAAAAATCTAATTTATTTCTACTTGGCGAATAGGAATGTAGATTAAGTTAACCGTCGTTTTTTAATGGATCATCAACACGGCTATAAAGAAAACAATGAGGGAGCATTATCTTTTACCTCGATGAATAAATAACAATAATTTGTTTACACCCAGAACCGTTAAGGTAGACGCTATTAAATGATACCTTGAGGTACATTTCCACGCTCTACACGACAAGATGATCCGTTCAAAAATATTTCCTGATACAACCAAAATTAAATTGAAAACATCCAATTCTTGGCAATACCTATACGTTTCCTCTAGTAGTCTTCACCCAAGCTCACAACTCAAGAACAATTGTACGGTACGTCGACTTCACTCAAGAGAAGACTCGACTGTGGTTCTCGATACATTCGACACGAACATCGGCGTAAGTAACCTTTTACAATATGGCCTCTGTTAATTCTGCCAAAAGT